TGGAAAAGCGCGCGTGGCCCACGTGGACGGGTGAAGGACGGGTTGGACGCCCCGGGTATTTCCGCGCGTTTCCCGGGCAATTCCGCGCCTTTGGACGGGTAGCCTGCGCAGCCCTGACCCACCACACGAAAAAAAGCGCGTAAAAGTAAAAAACGCGCGTTTACCTCCTATAGTGGATTACACGAGACTTATGAGATTGCACCTCGGTCAGATTTCGCGTGGCAAGACTGGCCGCCAGGAGTCAGGCAACCGTAACGACTTAGAGGCTCTTAAATAAAAGATCACGGATCTCATATCGGCATCGTCCCAGCCATCTCCCCATGGTAGGTTCTGGTAGAGGGTCTTCAGGTCGGTTGTTAAATCCATCTCGGGTGTGCTACGAACGTTGTGGCAAGCTGCCAAGACCATATCTGATCTAAGAGAACAGGACTAAGCAGCCAGTATGCGATCCAAGGCACATCTTGGATATCGTCCCGCTGATGTTGCTCGGCATCTGTGTGGAGCTCCAGAATCTTCACAGCGAAGTTGTACGGGTATGTCCTGGGATAGATAGATAGCTAGCTAGATAGATAGATAGATAGATAGATATATATATATAGAGAGAGAGAGAGAGAGAGAGAGTTCTGGGTTAGGACGAGGTGATACAAAGGCTCTCCAAGTCTTAGCTTCTGGGCGTTTGTTTGTGCTTGGGATAACATCACATCACATCATACTACACCACACCACCTCACACCACACCAAACAACATCCCGTCATACCACATCAGATCAGACCATATACCACTTCAAAACCTGGAGTGTTTTGGATGTTCCATTATCCTGGCAGTCCTATCCTACGAAACATGGCATTAATATCATACAACCTAGACAGACATAATTTTTATACATGTAAATAAATTAATATGTTACCATGCTGACACCTAATAACATGTACCTTTGGACTATTGACAATCGCATCGTCAGGCTATTATACCTTTATGTATGTGTATACACACATATGGTATGATATGCGTAGTGCGTGCATATCGAACGAACAAAAGACAACCTTACACCCACCCGGTCCCCGTACGTTTCCATAAATATGACATCATGCTTACATACTGACTACACAAAGCGTGCCCTAGAAAACCTACAACCGCTTTATGCATACCCTCGTCAGAATGCAAGCTAGAGGCTGAGTTCCTTTGAGCTGTTTCGAGCCCTGCACCTTGACCTTGCCTGTTCGCTTGCAGACTTTACGAATCGAGGTGGCAAACTCCCCTCGAAGTTGCTCGCGGGTCATGGCACCATGTGCCAGTTTTATGATACCGCTCGAGTTCGATATAACCATCGTCCGCTTCGAAGTTGGGTGCCCATAGAATTTCATGTAGAACTTCTGCAGGAACGTCTCAAAGCATGCAGACAGTAATGATGCTGTGTACAGGCACATGCACACAAGCAAGTCGTATACATACAAGAATCGTCAAGGCCAAGGTGCCCTTATATGAAGCTTCTGGAGGTGAGCTGTCAACCAGGCAAACCGGACACTTCGGAAAAGTAGAGAACTGTCGGGTTGCTCCACTACCCAAATACCACGGAGGCATTGGATGATGAGTAGCAGAAGCACCGTCCTGCAGGGCATTAATCACTATAGACAG